CATTAGCGTGATCACGTTTGTGCTTTTCATCGTGTTTGCTCTATTCTTCCCCGACTCGCCAACCCAGGCCAAGTTCCTGACGGAGGAGGAAAAGGTGATTGCTGTAAAGCGTATTAAGGTGAATCAGTCTGGGATCGAAACGAAAACATGGAAGCGACACCAGTAAGTGGAGAGATGACTTGTGTGAGACCCCTTCACTAATTGTATTCATAGATTCATGGAAGCCCTCAAGGATCCTAAAGCGTGGATTTTCATGCTCTATGCGATTCTCGGCAACTTTGTCGGCGGGATCAGCGTGCAATACTCGTTGATCATCAAGGACTTTGGATTCAGCGTATTGCAGACGACTCTTCTCAATATCCCAACGGGTTGTCATCAGATTATTTTCGTCACGTTCGGCATGTACATGTTGCACAAGTTCCCTGTAAGTAACGCTATTTTTTTTATCTCCGCTTCTCCTCTTTTCTCTCTACTGCTTCATCATCCTAATACTAATCTGATCGAATATATTATCAGAATGCGCGTGGATGGATTTCCGTCATCTCTTATATCCCTTCCATTATCGCCATAATTCTTTTGATCTCCCTCCCTAACACTCGCGTCGGACTCCTCATTTCTTTCATCTTCCTTCGTACGTGTCTTCATTCTATCTGAAAGGATATCCGAGTCTAATATCATCTCCCGGCCCATAGTCTCGTACTCACCAGCCATCGTACTCTCCCTCTCATGGATCACGACTACCACCTCTGGACATACCAAGAAACTTACGATGCACGCCATGTGGTTGACTGGATACTCCATTGGTCAGACGGTGTCGCCTCAATTCTGGAAGAACAAGTACAAGCCACGCAACCGTGTTCCATGGACCATTATTCTTGTGAGACTATCCTCTCCCAATCCATGAACCATCATTAAAAACTCATTGTTCCCACCTGTAGGTATCGGTGTGCTGCCAAGTCGCCATCATTCTTTTCCTTCGTTGGTACCTCAACAGGTGCAACAAGATCCGTGACGCTGCTGCTGCTGCTGCTACGACAGAGGAGGAGAGGGAAAAGTACGGAGAGTACGGATGGCTGGAGGTCGCCGACCCCAAGACTGGGGCGATGACGAAAGTGAGAGTGGAGAAGCGGAGATAAAAAAAATAGCGTTACTTACAGGGAACTTGTGC